TTGAGTTCCCTGTGGAAACGGTCAATCTAGGACTGGAGGGATTCATCCCTTTCTTGCCTTATATTGCTGAGGTAGCTCAAAGGCATCGAGAACTTTTGATTTGCTTGAAAATGCCTTAGGAACGTCGTGCTCATCTGAGGTCACGAACTGATTGATCCCGCTAGGAGCGACCTAAACCACCGTTTGGCATGAGAGGTCAAAGTCACTGCCAAACAACGACATTTTACTAAATCTGAGACCTGGTGAAGCTCCATCAGGTCGTTAAATTCATATAGATGATCCTGCGGATTGGAATTTCCATCAAACGCCTGCATGTCGGGCATCCTGAATCTTGGTGGGAGTGGAGCGGCTAACACTTCAGGAGAGAAGGGGGACGCAGATGCGACCTGCCCCTGTTCATTTTGCTGAGCTCTTAGTCTGTTTAGAGCTTGCTGCAACTCCTCAATTTGCGACAATGGAGCCGCTTGGGGATTGCTTTCATCCATGCGAGTTCGACCCTCGCGGTTACGATTGAGGAAAGTCCAGAGGTCGAGTTCCTCTTCGCCTCTGCCAGCGATTCTGGCCACTCTCGACACACACTGGCTAGAGGCGTGTGATGGCGATCAAAGGTGCGAGGTATTTTCACGACCTTCGCAGTGGTAAGAACCGCCCTGCGAAGTGTGGGACCCTCTCGCACAGTGACGATCAGGATTGTTCTGCTGGCGGTGATAAGAATCGCCTCGTCCAACACTTTTATGGGTGTGTACCTGCGACGTGGCATGGGATAGCTTGGGCTGCATCTTTTCACCAAGTCTCAACGAGACTGGTATTCTGTTTGGGACGCAGTCAGTGTTTGCTGTCCCTTTGGAGCCGGTTGTTTTTTGCCACTTGCTTACCCATTCGTCTACGCGTTGTAGTGCTCGCGACATGGGCTATTTCCTTTTGCCGCGCTTTCGTGCGACCTATAGGCATTTTTGGCGGTTGCATCGCTGTAGTTGACTTGGATGGCACGCCTTGGTCCAAACGGTCCAACCTTCGGTTGACCGTTTGGAGAGTATTGTCAAACCTCTCCAGGTAGCTTCTAATAGCGGGGTCAAGCTGTGAACTTGACGGGATATCCCCTACAGCATTTTACGGGGCTGAAGGTTTTTTGGAAGAAGTGTCCCTTTAGACTTGGGGGAGCCTCTCAGCGCCTTGTTGGTTTGCTCAGGTTCTGGTTGGCGGGCCATTTGTTGTTGTAGGACCGGTAAGTTGGAGATTCTCCTGATGAAGGATGAACACTAAATCAGGCCCTCCTTCTAGCGCCAAACTATTGATGCGTGATTTTTACACCAACGAAACACACGTGTGAAATGTTGAGCTGGCCCCAAAAGATACACGTGAATGTAAAGGAGAATGACAATAAATGCAATGGGGATAGTTTTTAAAGTGGTTCGGATGCTAAGGTAGCAAGTCCTATGTCCACTAATGCTTATATTGATGATAAGGGTCAGGTCGCTTTTAGCTGATTGACTTTACAATGATATTACAAGGTATCAAATGCTAAAAATTCTAGAGAGAGAGAGTAGCTAATCAAGTGTAAAAATGTGCGAATCCCTTTAATGAGAGAGGAGCTCCCAATTTATAGTGGAATGCATTAAGGTAATGATCACTAAATCTGTAAGTTGGTGAGATTATCAGTGTAAATCCTTCTTTATGTCACATTGCCCACCTTCCAGAGTGATTTGCACAATTCAGAGCAGGGATTGGATACGTGAGATCATCACAGCTTCTAGCTGGCCTGACGTACACCCACTATTCTGACGAAAGCAGACTGTGGGTGTACCCATGATCTGACTCCTGCAGGTTGACTGGATCTTACGTCAGCCCTTATATTTTTTAGGCATAACAAGACCTTCGGATGCCCCAGTTACATGATGTCACGTGTTCAACAATATTAGAATGCCAAGAATCTTTGGATGCCCCAATTACTTAATGTCACATGCCTCAACTACATGATGCCATGTGTCCAACAATATTAGAATGCCCAAGAACCGTTGGATGCCTACATAATGCCATGTGTCCAATAGTATTTCATCATGGCAAACTAAAGGAATTCTAATGCTTCAAAATGACTATTATATAGCTATGCCTCGCGATTTTGTATGTATATATATATATATAGATTCAAAATTAATGGATCAAGGTCCATTGTATCATTAGAGCTTTAATTAAGAGAAGTGATTTTTAGTCCCTACCAAACTGATCACTATCCCCCATTACTAAATACAACTATATTATATTTTAAAAAACTTCTATTTAAACCTGAAAATAGCCCTGCTTGATTACGTTAATTATGGTTTTTATGTGCACCATTTTCCCCCAAATTTCCAACTTAAGTAGGGTTTTTTCATCATACCAGTTTTCCCCAATTTCAAACTTAATGAAGGTTTTTTTTTTTTTTTTTACACAATTTTTCTCTCAATCTCTTAATTATGTTTTTTATTTACACCATTTTTTCCTAATTTCAAATTTGAAGCTTACTTTTTTCTTCTTCAGATTCAAATTTATCTCATTGTGTGATTATTTCCTCCATAGATTTAGTAATATATTTTCATCAAACAAAGAATTATTTGAAATTAAAAAAAGAAAAAAAACCCAATGATTTAGAAAATTTAGATTTGTGGTTTATGTAAGAATTAAATGTTAGAAATTAAAACAAAAATTATAAAATAGAAAATAGGTGTATTTAGAAATTATAATTTCATTAAGGTTAAACTTAAAAAAAACAANCTCTTCCTAGGTTCGAGTACCTACAAATAAAGCAATCACACATAAAAACCAAGAAAAATAATTAAAAAAAGCAAGAGAAATTGAGAAAATTTAAGACTTTCTGATTCAGTTCAGCTGTGGAAAAGCAAAAACAAAACTTTTAGCCTATTTGAATTTGAATGTGAATGTCAAGTGTCTCTGCTTATAAGAAATTAATGTTAATGTTAATATGAATGTGAATGTGAAGAGTCAGTGTTTATATGAACAGACTAACTTTTGGAATGCCTTCTGGTATCGTTGAACGTGGATGGTCTGGGTTTATGTGAGAATTAATCAAGTTTTAATTAGACCTTTGGATGCCCTAGTTACATGATGTCATGTGTTCAACAATATTAGAATGCCAAGAATCTTTGGATGCCCCAATTACTTAATGTCACGTGCCTCAATTACATGATGCCACATGTCCAACAATATTAGAATGCCCAAGAACCTTTCGATGCCTACATAATGCCATGTGTCCAATAGTATTCCATCATGGCAAAATAAAGGAATTCTAGTGCTTCAAAATGACTATTATATAGTTATGCCTCGCAATTTTGTATATATATAGATTCAAAATTAACGGATCAAGGTCAATTGTCTCATTGGAGCTTTAATTAAGAGAAGTGATTTTTAGTCCCTACCAAATTGATCACTATCCCCCATTACTAAATACACCTATATTATATTTTAAAAAACTTCTATTTAAACCTGAAAATAGCCCTGCTTGATTACGTTAAATATGGTTTTTATATGCACCATTTTCCTCCAAATTTCCAACTTAATTAGGGTTTTATCATCATACCACATTTCCCCAATTTCAAACTTAATGAAGGTTTTTTTTTTTTTACACAATTTTTCTCTCAATCTCTTAATTAGGTTTTTTATTTACACCATTATTTCCTAATATTTGAAGCTTACTTTTTTCTTCTTCAGATTCAAATTTATCTCATTGTGTGATTACTTCCTCCATAGATTTAGTAATATATTTTCATCAAACAAAGAATTGTTTGAAATTAAAAAAAAAAAAAAAAACCCACTGATTTAGAAAATTTAGATTTGTGGTTTATGTAAGAATTAATTATTAGAAATTAAAACAAAAATTATAAAATAGAAAATAAGTGTATTTAGAAATTATAATTTCATTAAGGTTAAACTTAAAAAAAAAACAATACATTTTAAAGTTGGGGATCCTGATAAATTTAATGGGGGCTAAAAATCATTTCTGTTATTAAATATGTCTCTACCGATTCCTTGTATAGCTTTGAATTAATCACAACAAATAATAAAATAAATATAATTGTAGTTGTAAAGTTTTTGAATCTTTGACCACAAACTTTAGTCCAGGGGTTTTGAAACTATGGTTAAAGGACTTAATTAATTATTAAAAGGATTCTAAATTATACTTTAATAATTAAAAAGGCTTTCTACTGACATAGAGTTTAAAATGTCTTTATAAGTGCACTTTAACCTAGGGGTTTAAATTTTCACTTTATTCACACATCCTCTTTAAGAATATATATATATAGCTTCAAGTTCAAAGGTGTATCTCGATTACTTTTGATTAATTAATTTTTAAAATCTTAAATCAATTTTTCCACTATAAATCACGTGGATATAAAAAATTCCAACGGTACTTTCAAATGTCAAAATAAAAATACTTAAGATTCAAATTGCCTAAAGACTGAAGTATTCATATTTTTTTATAATTATACTCTAAAATTTGAAATCATCCTCCTTGAATTCATTAAAAGTCTTTTAAAAATTTCATAAAACTTATGAAAACATTTTTATTTATAAAAATTATAAACAGAAAGCAATTTAAAAAAAAAACACAAAAATAATTGTAAAAACTATGAAAAACCATATAGAAAACAGTTGTAGCGATGGATGGTAAGTGGGCTGACATGGACCACTATTAATATGAGCCCAAAAATACTAGAAGGGCCTATTAAAGAGCTAATTACATTTAGATCCCTCACGTTTAGCTTAAGTACTTAGGTCCCAAGTATCATAAATTAAATTTTAATCCCTAGATGTAGAAACTTAGAAAGTAGAAAATAGAAAAACACTTCAGTCCTTGTAAAATCAGAAAATAACACATTTAGGTCCCTTAATAGAAGGATCTATTTGTTATTTATCCTAAATCTAAGGGACCTAAAGGTTAAGCAATAAGCAGTTTGTTAAAAACACAATGGCAACTGGGCAGACTTGGCAAATGATACCTTCTCTCCTCTCTCCTAGCTGTCTGTCTTCCTCTCACTTCTGTCTCTATCTCTGTTTCACTTTCTCTCTTCAATCTCAGATTCTCAATGGAAAACATTTATAATAATAATAATATTAATAATGATAAAGCTCTGATGGAAGAAGATGAGCAGCGAGGAAATGAACATGAAGACGAGGAGAAATTTCTCGAAGAGTTCAAATGTTGCGTTTGTCTGTAAGTTTCATCGTCTTTAATTTTTAATTTATTTATGTATTAGTTTTTATTCAATGAAATTTTAGTTAATAATTATTTAATTTCTGGCTGAAACAAACAAGTGAGAAGAAATTAAGTTATTAATTGATTAATTAGTTCAAAGATTGAAAAATGTGAAGGCCGAGAGAGTTTGCTTTGATTTTTTGTGTACTTAGATAAATACTTCGTTTGTTAAGTTAAAAGTAATCGAATTATGATTGTTTGTTTGTTTGTTTGTTTATGCTGTTGAAGTATAATGGAGTCGTGAAACGTGGAGTAGTGATCAAGTTTTCGAGAAATGTTTACAAAAGTGTTTTTGTTAGGAAAATATTTTGCTGCTTTGTCTCACAAACCTGAGTTTGATAATTTGCTATGTCATCTTTGCAATCTTTTTAAATGCAAAAAAAGAACAGGCAAACAAACAAACGAACAAACATACCATAAATGGAGAAGCAGATTGGACCTTGAATGTTTAATCACTTATATATGGATGGTGGGGCTATTTGCACCCAGACTTTGACTATATATCCCTTTTACCACCATCAAAATTTAAAAGTTCTAAATTTTTGGCAATTATAACGTTTATTAAAATTTAGTCTTTTGAAGAATTAACTTCCTAATACTCGATTTTAAATTGCTTTATGTGTATTTCTGTGGTAGAATCTTCAACAGAAAAGTGGATATGTAGAGTTAAAATGCGGTACAATAGTCCACACTTATAAAATAGTCACATGGTGTTCAGGGTATGCTAAGATTTGTGAATCTAGAAGAGAAATTATATAGAAGTGGGAACAAAAGCTGACAAGTCATCTGCTAGAAGTTCACTATGAGTCTACAAAGGCTTTACGACAATCCAACAGGAGAAGGGATGATAAGTGACTATTTTTTTTACTTCTTATACGTAAGAGAATTATATTTATCATAGTTATAGGACTTGAGCTTTAATCTACCAATAACATATAAATCTTAGCCTGAGTTATGCATTGAGGTTGAGGTAAATTTATGGTTCCCATATTTGTTCACACATCTTTACTTCCTGGGTGTGGTCATACATATATTAAACTTTTAACTGTTATTTAAATGGTGGTTTTACAAGAAACTGTGGAAGTACCAGAGTGTTAACTAATAGCCATGAGACTTTAGCAATGCTTCTTGTATAGTATATTACCCTGTAGAGTTTATGGCTATCCAGTTGTTATTAGTTTGGTAAGTGTACTTTTTTTTTTTATTTATGCTGGGTACAAAACCTATATAAAGACTTTCCTTTTTTGTTGCAGAGAACTCCTTTACAAGCCAGTTGTGTTGGGTAAGAAGGTACCACATGAAAACTGCATTCTGATATGTAGTTTCACCTTTCTGAAGTATCTGTTTTCATGTGTACAGCGTGTGGCCACATTTCATGCTTCTGGTGTGTGTTTAGTGCCATGAATGTTTGGCATGAGTCCCACTGTCCAGTTTGCCGCCACCCGTATAATCATTTCCCAAGTATTTGTCAATTGCTGCATTTCGTGCTCTCAAAGTTGTATCCTTTAACCTTCAAGAGAAGGGAAAGAGAAGTGGGAGGTGAGAATCTTTATATTTGTTTCATATAGGTTCTTAATACATCTGGCTTGATGAAAGACTTGAATCCTACTTCAAAACATCCAGCTGCTTGTGAGCTGTGTCTAGTTGAAGGATCAGCGATTTGAAATAACTCCTTAGAATCACTTTTGCTTCTACTCTATATCATAGAAAAGTGTTCTAGATAGTACTAGCAGGTACACTCCTTAAATTAATTTTGCTTCCAAGCACAAAAAAATTGTACAAGGATTTTTGGGAATGGAAAATTTAGAAATCTTGCCATTGAAGCACAAAATCATAACTGTCATAAGTGGCATTGCCTTTGGCATTGGAGGGCTGCTGTCAACTTGACTGTATTGATTGTGTTTTGGGGTTATAGAGAACTTAGGGGCACCTTGGGTTAACAAAAATAATGTTGGATTTTTCAGAAAAAAAATAATGAACATCTATTTGGATAATTCTCAAGTCCTTTTAATTCTGGGTAACAGGTCTTCTTGCCTTTAAAAGTGTATAAAATTAAAGCAGTATGTGTTTGTACTTAAGAGGAAATATTTTCAGTTTTAATATGATTTCTTGTGGAGTCCTTTACATGAAGATATTCTTGCAAACAGGATATGAAAATATTATTCATACACATTGCCTCTAGTCTGGAGCCCAAAGTCATCTTTGGTTGGGTTGACGAAATAGTGAATCTGTCAATTTCAGGCTTATACATACATGATACAAGAAAATGGATGGATTAAGGTCTACTGATAAGATGTGTAAAGCCTTTACATAAGTTAAAGGATTCCTTTGGCCATATCTGAAGCTGGTTGAAGGGCTCTCTAAGTTGTTTCATTACTTCTATAAGCAAGTACATTTATTATGAAAGGCATAATGCTCTCTTATATCTTCTCTTATTGCTGTTGTAGTGGTTATTCAAGTCGCCACATTTTTCAATGTTCAATTCTTCATATTCTTTTGTCTTTGTTAAGTTTGGTGGTCAAATGTAAGTTATCAGCATGAAGGGGTCACATGTGGAGGAAGGGAAGACTTGGAATTTTTTTAGTTGTATACAATGTTAATTTTGGATGAATGGAATTGATTAAGATCCTTTATAATGGTCTTCTTTAGTGTTCTTTGGATTTAATTTTGTCAATTTGCATTGGACTTTTTCCCTCTTTTTCCTTTCATGAGTAGTGGGAATAAATCAAGGCTCTTTCAGTTCAGATTGGATTTTGATGCTTTTTGGCTCGATTTTCTTTTGATATTGTGAACCGCTTGTCTATTGAAGCATTTACTTGCTGGCCTTATTGGAGTTGTTTATACTTATGGCATTTTATCTGAATTCCTTATATGATGATTTGTATGAATTCTTATTTGGTTTTTCAGAAGAAGAAAATAAGCGTGGTCATTTCTCGCCGCAGTTTGATTGTTATTTATTTGGATCAAACCCTAGTAAGGAGTTTGAAAACGTAGGCAATACTCTACATTCTCCTTCTCATCAACAAGAAAGTCATTGTTCCGGAGAAGAGATGTCTTCCTCAGTCTTGAATTTGTTGGAAATGACTGTTGAATGTGGAAATGATACCTGCAAACCAGCAACATCTTCAGAAAGATCTGAGGCCACTCCAAATGCAACCATCCAAGAATGTAATTTGGTTGGAAATAATATTGAAAATAAATCTCTCAACCAAATTTCCGTTGATGATTTATCCTGTGCTGCATGTGAAAAGATGCTCTTTCAGCCAGTTGTTCTAAATTGTGGCCATGGTATTTAATATCACTTTAACCATATTTCACTATAAAAGAGGAAACAGCATATTTAAGGGTAAATATTATTATTGAGCATTCATTTTAATTTCTTCTTTTGTGCAGTATATTGTGAGTCATGTATCATTATTCCTGAAGGTGGAAACTTTCGATGCCCAGTCTGTCAAAGCTTGCAGCCACGTGGGCTCCCTAACGTTTGTTTGATTCTAAAGCATTTCTTGGAGGAGCAATTTCCTGCGTTATATGCAGAGAGAGGGAAAGCTTTACTTAAACAAACAAATTGTAAGTATTGGAGCTTCTTATTTTCATCTATTTATTGCTTTGGGAGTATTTTGTGATAAAGATAGTATTGTTTTAGATATAAACTTGTGCCTAATGTGGTACCCAATGCTTATAGCCTATTGCTAAAATTTCTTTTACTTATCCAAGTAAAAGAAAGGAAGAAAAGAATCAGCTAACCCAAAAGAAATCATGCTACCAACCCTATATTTCTAAATTTCTATTATTTCCTTGGTTTCTGCTTTGAGAACTGTTAAACATCTCTTAACTTTGCTGAAAGAAATAGAAGTTTAGGATTAAGCTTGTAGGTTGTTTTCTCTTCTTTCATTTTATTCACACACACACATATATATGTAATATGGCAAAATCCAAGTGGTTATGAGCTATTGTTAAGGTCTTTTAATCATCCCAAAAAATAATTTAATATATGTGCTCTTGGCAAAATCAATGTGATTTTGAGCTTTTATCAAAATCCTTTGGTTGTCTCAAAGATAATTTATTTAATGATCAACTTTCTTCTTATTTCATATATTTTTGGGTAGACACATTGCATATTCCTGACAGCTAGTGAGTGTATAGCTGCCGGTGATGCTCCTTCAACTTATCTTACCTTTCTTTTTGTCTTAATGTTGCATTATTTGTTCTTCTTGTATTGTATACTTTTTGTGTTAATACACACTACGTATTTCTGATGGCTATTGTATGTCACCTGTTGATGCTCCTTGACATTATTTTACCTCAGTTTCTGTCTCTGTCTTGCTATAGTTTGTGTAAATTTGATTTGTTTATCCTCTTCCCAACTTTAATACAGGTTCAAGACAACAACATTCTAGCCGAACATCACCATTTCCTAAAAATGCGTACTCATCATGGTGGTCTGGCAGTGGGCCAAAGGTCCATGTTGGAGTGGGTTGTGATTTATGTGGGGTAATATTTATTTCTTGCTCATTTTCTTTTTATTTCCGGGTATACTTACAACATAAATGCCATTAGTAGCTTCTAGGGTTACATGGGAATAAATACCAAGATGCATTATCTGCTTTTTTAAAACCTCTGATCAGCCACTGTNTTGATGCTTTTTGGCTCGATTTTCTTTTGATATTGTGAACCGCTTGTCTATTGAAGCATTTACTTGCTGGCCTTATTGGAGTTGTTTATACTTATGGCATTTTATCTGAATTCCTTATATGATGATTTGTATGAATTCTTATTTGGTTTTTCAGAAGAAGAAAATAAGCGTGGTCATTTCTCGCCGCAGTTTGATTGTTATTTATTTGGATCAAACCCTAGTAAGGCGTTTGAAAACGTAGGCAATACTCTACATTCTCCTTCTCATCAACAAGAAAGTCATTGTTCCGGAGAAGAGATGTCTTCCTCAGTCTTGAATTTGTTGGAAATGACTGTTGAATGTGGAAATGATACCTGCAAACCAGCAACATCTTCAGAAAGATCTGAGGCCACTCCAAATGCAACCATCCAAGAATGTAATTTGGTTGGAAATAATATTGAAAATAAATCTCTCAACCAAATTTCCGTTGATGATTTATCCTGTGCTGCATGTGAAAAGATGCTCTTTCAGCCAGTTGTTCTAAATTGTGGCCATGGTATTTAATATCACTTTAACCATATTTCACTATAAAAGAGGAAACAGCATATTTAAGGGTAAATATTATTATTGAGCATTCATTTTAATTTCTTCTTTTGTGCAGTATATTGTGAGTCATGTATCATTATTCCTGAAGGTGGAAACTTTCGATGCCCAGTCTGTCAAAGCTTGCAGCCACGTGGGCTCCCTAACGTTTGTTTGATTCTAAAGCATTTCTTGGAGGAGCAATTTCCTGCGTTATATGCAGAGAGAGGGAAAGCTTTACTTAAACAAACAAATTGTAAGTATTGGAGCTTCTTATTTTCATCTATTTATTGCTTTGGGAGTATTTTGTGATAAAGATAGTATTGTTTTAGATATAAACTTGTGCCTAATGTGGTACCCAATGCTTATAGCCTATTGCTAAAATTTCTTTTACTTATCCAAGTAAAAGAAAGGAAGAAAAGAATCAGCTAACCCAAAAGAAATCATGCTACCAACCCTATATTTCTAAATTTCTATTATTTCCTTGGTTTCTGCTTTGAGAACTGTTAAACATCTCTTAACTTTGCTGAAAGAAATAGAAGTTTAGGATTAAGCTTGTAGGTTGTTTTCTCTTCTTTCATTTTATTCACACACACACATATATATGTAATATGGCAAAATCCAAGTGGTTATGAGCTATTGTTAAGGTCTTTTAATCATCCCAAAAAATAATTTAATATATGTGCTCTTGGCAAAATCAATGTGATTTTGAGCTTTTATCAAAATCCTTTGGTTGTCTCAAAGATAATTTATTTAATGATCAACTTTCTTCTTATTTCATATATTTTTGGGTAGACACATTGCATATTCCTGACAGCTAGTGAGTGTATAGCTGCCGGTGATGCTCCTTCAACTTATCTTACCTTTCTTTTTGTCTTAATGTTGCATTATTTGTTCTTCTTGTATTGTATACTTTTTGTGTTAATACACACTACGTATTTCTGATGGCTATTGTATGTCACCTGTTGATGCTCCTTGACATTATTTTACCTCAGTTTCTGTCTCTGTCTTGCTATAGTTTGTGTAAATTTGATTTGTTTATCCTCTTCCCAACTTTAATACAGGTTCAAGACAACAACATTCTAGCCGAACATCACCATTTCCTAAAAATGCGTACTCATCATGGTGGTCTGGCAGTGGGCCAAAGGTCCATGTTGGAGTGGGTTGTGATTTATGTGGGGTAATATTTATTTCTTGCTCATTTTCTTTTTATTTCCGGGTATACTTACAACATAAATGCCATTAGTAGCTTCTAGGGTTACATGGGAATAAATACCAAGATGCATTATCTGCTTTTTTAAAACCTCTGATCAGCCACTGTATGAAGCATATGGTTCTATTGTTGAAGTTTAGCTTCTTATTACTTTTGTAAAATATTGGATGCCCAAATGATGACTCCTACTGCTAATTGATCATTAAAAAAAGATTAACAAACTCCTCTGCTCATTTGATCGATGCCGATATTCTGACATAAATTTGAGATTCCTTACCGGTTAGAATCCATTAGGAAATGTCATTGTTCCTAATCGGTTGTTTCTTGGCTTCATTAATTTCTCCTGGCAGTTTGTTGCATAACTTCAATTGCTAACTCTTCAGTTATTTTCTATTGTAGAAGTATTTATTTACTAGAAAAAGCTGTAAAGTAAGCAAGAAAAGAAGCTCAGTATGTCTATCAATTGGCTTGAGTTTTGTGAAGGAGAAAATTGAATGATTAACTTAATTGATTAGGCAAGTCCACTGACATGAACTTGGACTTGGAGGTGCTATGTGATAACGAATACTGCAATGAAGCTTAAGGTAGACAGTTTGTTAAATTAATTAGTAAGAGGTTTAGGTAGAATAAAAAGTTTAAGTCAAAAGGAAGTCGAGGGAAGATGTACATTGTGCTTGGTTGTTTCAGCTGAACAGAATTTTTTTTTTTTTTTTTTTTTTTCCTTCTCATCCTAAGTAATAGCGTTTAGTCTTATTTAAAATGAGTTTGGATTTTTGGACTTTTAAAATTAACTGAATTAATCTTTTTCGCTCATCTGGGACCAAGTTAAGTAGATACTTCTCTATACACATGTTTGCAGATGTCTCCAATAATAGGGGAGAGATACAAATGCAAGGACTGCAAGGAATCGATAGGTTTTGACCTATGTGAAAACTGCCATAATAATCCTGTCAAGATCCCAGGACGATTTAATCAACAGCATAAACCAGAACACAAGCTTGAACTTATACAGCCAGCAGGCATAAGTGATCTGCTGTATAGGATGAATTCTGAATTGTCTGATGATGAGGGCTCAGATGCTCCAGAAAATCAAGATAGTGTTTCCCATGCTCTCATTTCATCAGCTGATGTTCCACATCACCAAGAAGATGATAATAATGATCTTGAAGATGCTTCTTCTCCATACATTGTGTCAGTTGATGTTTCAATGCATGAGGAAGATGATTCTTACGACAACCCTCAATCAGATTTGACTTGATGAGAACAGGAAGGTAAGAATGCTAAGATCTTCAACCATATCATGTATCATATGTTATTTGTAGAAAGGCTTCTGGAGTTTCAGATACCAGAGCCCATCCCACCCCACTGCAGCTGTATCGGTACCCTACCATGCATAAAAACACCAGCCAAAAGCTCTACACAAACGCTGAAATTTTGAAATTTAGCTAAATCTATGGCATAAGCTTATAGTTACCAAGTTTTCCATTTCCTTAGCATTCACCATTTTATGGTTGGAAATCAGAATTCATTAATACTTTTGGCAGCATAATCTTTCTTTTCCGATTTTGATTTTTTGGTTCATAAACATGTTAGATTAGCTTGTTCCTACTTTATCTAATATATTGCATCATATTTTGTATTTATTGAAATATTATTCTGCATCTTCTTTCTGCAGTTGCATTAAGGTAAAAATGGTGGCAAGTAGTTGGAGGGCAAGAGTTTTCCTTGAAGCGACAACGCTAGGAAATCTTTGTTAAGCTATTGTGCAATTGAAAAAGGTATGGGTTGTGCATCCAAAGAGATGAAATATTGTGGGTTATATCATGAAGGCGGAGACTGCAAGGTCTTTCGGATAAGGATAATGTGTAGCAGAGGCAAGTTCTTAATTGCCTATGAAATGATAGCATTAAACTGGAATTAATGAATATCCAATAACTTAACTATATTTGCTGTATCTCAGCAAATGTGTATCTTGGCCTGTTGCTCTAATTTCCTGAAGCTTTGGGGAAGCCTTTATAAATTAATTCAATTCGGGAACTGCCCGGTTTTCTTTCTTGTTTTTTGTTTATTGAGATGACTTTAACATGCCCAAGGCCAAGATTTTTTTTTTGAACAACAAATTGATCCTGGGGCTGGGTATGCATTGAAAAATATGTTTCTTTAAAACGAAATTTATTGAAATATTTAATTGTAATTGTACGATTGATTTATGGATTATCAATAATTTTGTTTGTCTTGTCTTCTGTAAGTCTTGACTTTTAAAGGGTGTCTTATAAACCAATCTTACGGTGTATTAATGCTACCATTAACTCAGTAAGTATTATGACCATCTATCTCTGTTGATCCACCCTTTAACTAAGTAAATTGTGCATAATATTGTTTGATCAAACTCGGGATTAGCAGCATGGCCGTCACGTGTGCCCTTTTAATTCAGTTGTCTTGCCTAACACAACTTTCTGTTCCCCAACTTCAATAGATATTATTATATAAATAACCTGGAAGAGTTCAATTAGTAGACTGTTAAGATCATCTCTAACCCATTGTACCACATTTGGTGTAATTTTTTAAGTAAAACACTATTGCATCTCCAAATCCATGGCATCAAATATGACACTAAAAAGAATATTTTTTAGAATATTTATTTTTTTTTTCCTTTTATTATAATAACCAATAATTAATCTATTTCACTTATCATTTTTTATACATTAATTAAATATTAGGAATGATATTTTTATTAAATAATAATTACTTTGAAAATTATACTAATTTAATAAAATTAAGCATTTATTTAATCAAATAAACATTACATTTAATATAAAAAAAAATATTACATATAATATAAAATGATACCAAAAAAAAAAAAAAAAAAATTACACAAAAGTAAAATTTTATATTGATAGTAATTTAATTTTATGAATTAATATGTTCTTCCCACAAATGATCAATTAATGCATTTCGAAGAGCATGGTGAGCCTTTGTTCTTTCCAATATTTTGTTGATCTTACAGGATGCGAAACTAATTTACCGGAATACTAATTTGTTATTTTCGTTTATATTGTATTTTCTTTTAATTTTAGTATTTTTAAATTAGTGTTAATTTTTATTTTGAGTTATTGTAATTTAATATTTGCATTAAATAAAGTTTATTTTTAATTTTTCATTATTTTTTGAATTATATCGTTATTATGAGCTTATTATTATAAATATTAATATAAATAATAATCATATTAACTTAAATTCAAATAACAAAAAAAAAAAAATTTTTTTTGCTACATGAATAGTATCACGCCAATTTGGTGTTGATGAACAGTACCACGCCAAATTTGGCGTGGCACTGTTCATCCACACCAAATTGGTGTAGCGAATAGCGCTGCATTGGAGCAGCATCTCACGCTATTTTGGCGTTTTTCACGCCAAAATAGCATGGGTTGGAGATGTCCTAAGGGCATCTCCAATCGACGCAAAAATGACGTAAAAAACACCAAATTGGCGTGGGTTGGAGCCAAAGCACCATGCTACAATACCATGGTATTGTAGCACAAATAAAAAATATATTTTTTTTAATTTTGCTTTTCTTTGTTTTTAATTTTGTTAAGTTAATTTGAGTAATAAATTTTACATCAAATTTAAGTATTTGTATTTAATTTAATTTGATAATTATTTATAATAATGATATAATTTAAAAAATGATGAAAAATTAAAAATAAAACTTTATTCAATGCAAATATTAAACTATAATAACTCAAAATAAAAATTAACACTAATTTAAAAACACTAAAATTATAAGAAAATACAATAAGGGCTGATACGTACAATTTTTTTACTTCTTATACGTGAGAGTTTATATTTATCATAGTAGGACTTGAGCTTTAATCTACACCAATAACATATAATCTAGCCTGAGTTATGCATTGAGGTTGAGGTAAATTTATGGTTTTTCATATTTGTTCACACTCTTTACTTCCTGGGTGTGGTCATACATATTAAACTTTTAACTGTTCTTTAATGGTGGCTTACAAGAAACTGTGGAAGTACCAGAGTGTTAACTATAGCCATGAGACTTTAGCAATGCTTCTTTTATAGTATATTACTCTGTAGAGTTTATGGCTATCTAGTTGTTTTAGTTTGGTAAGTGTATTTTTTATTTTTTTTATTTTTTTTATTTATGCTGGGTACAAAACCTAATAAACTTTCCTTTTTTGTTGCAGAGAACTCCTTTACGCCAGTTGTGTTGGGTAAGAAGGTCCCACATGAAAACTGCATTCTGATATGTGTTTCACCTTTCTGAAGTATCTGTTTTCATGTGGTGCAGCGTGTGGCCACATTTCATGCTTCTGTGTGTGTTTAATGCCATGTATTTGCAGGAGTCCCACTGTCCGTTGCCGCCACCCTTATAATCATTCCCAAGTATTTGTCAATTGCTGCATTTCGTGCTCTCAAAGTTGTATCCTTTAACTTACAAGAGAAGGGAAAGAGAATGGGAGGTGAGAATCTTTATATTGTTTCAATAGGTTCTTAATATCTGGCTTGATGAAAGACTGAATCCTACTTCAAAACATCCAGCTGCTTGTAGCTGTGTCTAGTTGAAGGATCAGCGATTTGAATAACTCCTTAGAATCACTTTTGCTTCTGCTCTATATCATAGAAAAGTGTTCTAGATAGTACTAGCAGGTACACTCCTTAATTTTTTGCTTCCAAGCACAAAAAAATTGTACAAGGATTTTGGGAATGGAAAATTTAGAAATCTTGCCATTGAAGCACAAAATCATGACTGTCATAAGTGGCATTGGCTTTGGCGTTGGAGGGCTGCTGTCAACTTGCTTGTATTGATTGTGTTTTGGGGTTATAGAGAACTTAGGGGCACCTTGGTTAACAAAATAATGTTGGATTTTTCAGAAAACAAATAATAACATCTATTTGGATAATTCTCAAGTCCTTTTGATTCTGGTAACAGGTCTTCTTGCCTTTAAAAGTGTATAAATTAAAGCAGTATGTGTTTGTACTTAATAGGAATATTTTCAGTTTTAATATGATTTCTTGGGGATTCCTTTACATGAGATATCTTGCCAGGATATGAAAATATTATTTGCCTCTAGTCTGGAGCCCAAAGTCATCTTTGGTTGGGTTGACAATAGTGAATCTGTCATTTCAGCTTATACATACATGATACAAAAAATGGATGATTAAGGTCTACTGATAAGATGTGTAAAGCCTTTACATAGTTAAAGGATTCCTTTGGCCATATCTGAAGCTGGTTGAAGGGCTCTCTAAGTTGTTCATTACTTCTATAGCAAGTACATGTATATGAGGCATAATCTCTCTTATATCTTCCTTATTGCTGTTGTAGTGGTTATTCAAGTCGCCACCTTTTTCAGTGTTCAATTCTTCATATTCTTTTGTCTTTGTTAAGTTTGGTGTCAAATGTAGTTATCACATGAAGGGGTCATAAGTGGAGAAGGCAAGACTTGAAGTTTTTTTAGTTGTATACAATGTTAATTTTGGATGAAGGGATTGATTAAGATCCTTTATAATGGTCTTCTTTAGTGTTTCTTTGGATTAATTTTGTCAATTTGCATTGGATTTTTTCCTCTTTTTCCTTTCATGATATGGGAAAAATTAAAGCTCTTTCAGTTCAGATTGGATTTTGATGCTTTTTGGCTCGATTTTCTTTTGATATTGGGAACCGCTTGTCTATGAAGCATTTACTTGCTGGCCTTATTGAGCTGTTTATACATGGCATTTATCTGAATCCATATGATGATTTTATGAATTCTTATGGTTGGTTTCAGAAGAAGAAAAAAGCGTGGTCATTCTCGCCGCAGTTTGATTGTTATTTATTTGGACAAACCCTAGTAAGGCGTTGAAACGTAGGCAATACTCTACATCTCCTTCTCATCACAAGAAAGTCATTGTTCCGGAGAAGAGATTCTTCCTCAGTCTGAATTGTTGGAAATGACTGTTGAATGTGGAAATGACCGGCAAACCAGCAACATCTTCAGAAGACTGAGGCCACTCCAATGCAACCATCCAAGAATTGTAATTTGGTTGGAAATAATATTGAAAATAAATCTCTCAACCAAATTTCTGTTGATGATTTATCTTTTGCTGCATGCGAAAATGCTCTTTCAGCCAGTTGTTCTAAATTGTCAGGGTATTTATTATCACTTTAACCATATTTCACTATAAAGAGGAAACAGCATATTTAAGTAAATATTATTATTGAGCATTCATTTTAATTTCTTCTTTTGTGCAGTATATTGTAGTCATGTATCATTATTCTGAAGTGGAAACTTTCGATGCCCAGTCGGTCAAAGCTTGCAGCCAGATGGCTCCCTAACGTTTGTTTGATTCTAAAGCATTTCTTGGAGGAGCAATTTCCTGCGTTATAGCAGAGAGGGAAGCTTTACTAAACAAACAATTGAAGTATTGGAGCCTTATTTTCATCTATTATTGCTTTGGGAGTATTTTTTGATAAAGATAGTATTGTTTTAGATATAAACTTGTGCCTAATGTGGTACCAATGCTTATAGGCTATTGCTAAAATTTCTTTTACTTATCCAAGTAAAAAAAGGAAGAAAAGAATCAGCTAACCCAAAAGAATCATGACCACCCTATATTTCTAAATTTCTATTATTTCCTTGGTTTCTGCTTTGAGAACTGTTAAACATCTCTTAACATTGCTGAAAAATAGAAGTTTAGGATTAAGCTTGTAGGTTGTTTTCTCTTCTTTCATTTTCTTCACACACACACATATATATGTAATATGGCAAAATCCAAGTGTTATGAGCTATTGTTAAGGTCTTTTAATTATCCCAAAAATAATTTAATATATTGCTCTTGGCAAAATCAAGTGATTTTGAGCTTTTATCAAAATCCTTTGGTTGTCTCAAGATA